GCTGGGTTTCCTTAGTCCGTGAATTCACACGCGAAGGGCGTGTCTCCGGATGAGTAAGAATAGACAGACACGTGAGAATAGCAGCAGCAGCGGCGGCAATAACGGCGTGGCGATGGATGGACGCAGTTAGGTAAAAAGCAAAACAGCTGTACGGAAAAGCGGCAATAGCTGCTTTATCTTAAGGGGGAAAAAAAATCCCAAACCCATATTGCGGTAAGATCAAGTAATCGCTCTCTCATGGTGACTGTGTGCGCATATATATGTGTCTATATATGCATATAGACACATACACACACAAAAGGGCGGAAACACCGTTTTCATCGTTATTCTGAAGATGTAGTTTAGTACATCTGTTTATATTTGTCGCCTCCTTTTAAGAGAAGGGCGGTCATAGATGTAACGATGTATGTCAGAATGAAATTATGTGCGTTGAAAGTATTCCGTGTTCTTCATGCTGCATGATAATCGAGGAGGGTATTTTGTCACTTTTGCGCAGCAGTCGGATCCTTACTGAAGCTGGTCAGGCACTCTGAAGGGTAGGAAAGCATGTTTTTTAACACATTCTAGCTGCGTAACTACAATACTGATTCACCTGGTTATTGAATTAATCCATTCCCTGGATTTGCACAGTGCATTTCACCATGAGCTATCCAAGCAGTTACACCAAGCCACACCTGACTTAATTAAGCATGGCAGGGGAATGCAGTCTTACTGTTACCTTGAGAAGCTGCACCACAAATATTCCAAACCACCTTTTATGTATTTTAGAAAGTCTTTCTCTAAGACTTTCATTTTATTCATTCCTGGCCTCATCAGAATGGCAAACTTCCATGAAACTGTAAGGCATTGTGGGAAGATCTGATCCAGGTTCTACTGAGTAAAAATTGGATAGTATCAAACGATTATCAGAAGCAATCTTCACCTTTCTGATGACAAGAAGTAAAGCTCAGTTTCCATGATTTATCACAACTTTGGTTTAATATTTGAATCAGTGAACATAGCAAATCCTTTTGTTGATTATGAATGGAGCACCAACCACTTATGTGTGAGACCCATTTCACAGGACCTTTCTTCAAATTTCTCCCTCTCAGTTCTTTCTCAACACCAGGTGGCATTTAGCTTTTTCTTCCTTAATCAGGCCAACTTTTAATTATCTTTCCCAGAATGCAAATACACCTGATGAACCATAGATCTAGATCAGGATAGTTTATTCTTTTTTAAAAACTAAGGATTTACTAGCATGTATATTCTTCCCCCTCCCGTGTTTTGCCCTAGTGTTAGTTTTTCATTTGATGTATATTGAGTTTTCTGGCTCTAAAGCTGTACTAAAGATTGATAAGACTTGCAAACTTCTAATGGCCATATGCACCAATAAGAGAGTATAAATAACAACTGGTAAGAAGCAGTACAAATATCTTATTAGTAGTTTTCTTTGTTCTTACGGAATCTGGTGTGTGTCTGACACAATACCTAGTAATAATGGGTACAGATAAGCTTTTAGTGAAATTTTTGTTTTCCAGAACCCACACAATTTCCATCGTTATCTTTGTCAATGCATTATTTCAAATACATCATTTGATCTAACTTTATTAATGTCTTTTCCTCTTCATATTTACACATTTGTAACTAATCACGTGCAAACTATTTTGGACTGAAAACACTTCTGAGCTTGAAATGTCCCATTTGAGGTAGAAATATACTCCACCCTATCAGGAATGCTCTGACAGTGTTCCGACTTCAAAATGGCCTTGTTTTTAATCTGGAACATTCTTGGTTTAGTTGGAGTGCTTCCAGGAACCTATTTTATACACCCCTACTCAGAATTACTTCCCCACAAACAATGTAGGGTTTTTTGTAACCCCCCCCCCAAGACTTTTATAAATAATTGTTTCCTGAACCACTACTAACTGCTTGGAGTTCTTGGCCTTCAGTATTACATAGGGTGAAACAGTGTATCACAAGCAGGTAACATGGAATTTACTGGGCCACAAATAATCACTTATGCCTTAATCTCTGTAGCAGTGGAAAGGAGGAATGCATCATGTTGGATTTTCTGCCTCCAGAATCAACTTGTCTAGAGCCATCTGTGATCCAAACATGCCAAGAGCTTCATCTGCTTGCCTTAATCTGATGAACTTTGCAAGAATAATATAACTTGATCAAACTTTCTTAAAAATTAAGACCAGGTGGATTTATTAGTCTGGTTAAGAACTCTGATACAAAGAACTGTAAAAGGCCACAGACCAGTCAAGAGAAGGCTTTTGGATTCTACAGTACTTGAATATTGTAAAAGGAGAGCTGTGTTAGTCTATAATCACAAAAAATCCTAAGGGAGTTTGGTAGCACCTTTTCTAACTAACCCATTTTAACACCACCACTGAGTGAGAGATTGCTGAATGCACATACATCAAAAGATTTCAGGCAACCTCAAGATCTCAACGAAGGGTTTTTAACAGGACAACTCCTAATTGATAAGGTACTGCTAATCTGTGTCACATGTAACCTGTATCCACATAACCAACCTGTTTTCCCCTCCTTCCATCCCAATTAACTCCTAAATCAGTCTAGCCACTCTATGCATTTGATAAAGCAGGCTGTGGCTCATGAAAGCTTATGCTATTTAATAAAATTTGTTAATTGAAAAAGGTGTTACCAGACCTCTCCTGATTTTTTTCAGTACTTGAACCAGACTCCTTTAATATGCCAGTTTAAAAAAAATAGAGTTCAACTGGCCAGAGGAAGGTCTCATTTAAGTTTCAAAGAGTCCAAATAGTATTCTTGAATATTTGCTGGTTTAAACACATTTCCAGAAGGGACTCCATAATGACAGTGAAGATCTAATTTGGGGGGGAAGGGTACTTAGAAGATGGTTTTCACCACTAATATGTAGGGAAATGCTTACAATAGTACAATGCACAGAAAGAAGAGATTGCAGAAGAGGCCTCAAGTCACAGAAATGTATACAGGTTATTACCTTGTAAATATACACTATAAACAACTGTACATAATATGGCGCAATAGCTTTGTTTGCCGAAACAGCAGGCAACTTTTTAGCTTAAGACACCTCCGCTTGTCTAAACAATGAAGGCACAACTGAATATGACACACGTGCTAAATTCTCTTTGAACAGGTGGGTGAAGCAGACCCTCTTCTGCCTCTCACTTAATCAGAACACTCGTAGTGCGCTCTCTTGCTTTTGTCACTTATCTTTTCTCAAGTTCAGCAGCAAAACTATGAAAAATTAAGACATGATGTCACCTAACATTTGAAAACAGCTGTAATATAATGATCTATCACAAACCTCTTGATTTTAATTTTTACTAAAAAGCAAGGATCCAAAGAGGTTTATAAAAACAAAATCAGAAACAGGATATACATCTTCATGTTTTGATGGGAAGGCCATCAATTGTGGCATCAATTGGGCATAACCCACTGGAAGGTTCTCCCAGGTAAACCACACTGAAATGAATCTATTCATTTCAGCTGGGCTTGGGTGAGAGAGTGCTTCTCAGTGCATCTTTTCTCTTACCTGGTGCTTTCTAGAAGGCCACATTGGCTGAGATTGCAGTCCCAATGCAACTTGAAGACACCAATTTGGAGAACGTTCTCTGATAAATTGCACCTTTAAATATATATATATGGAGCGGGGCGGGGGAGAGAGAGAGAGGCTGCTCATGCTCCAGTTTGAAAATAAGAAATCCACTGGCAACCGCTTTTGTTTTGGCTCAGTGCAATGAACTGATGTCAGTTTAAAATTAGGGTAGTGTGTCATTTACAGTGCAAAATATGGTATTCTTTGTACTGGCAAAACTTTCACAGCACTGAGGAGGAAGAGGAGAAGGCAGTGCTACTGATCCCCTGAGGAGAAGGTTGTTGCCGTGAGTAAACAGGCTAGAGTGAGTCTGAAGGCTGTTCTTGTTGTTCCAATGCTTGAGAATGAGTCTTGATCAGCAGCACTCTGGTGCAAGTGTTTGCTGGATGAAGGGCTCAAGTACACTGTGTCATTGGAATAAATTAAGAAGAAAATGTAAAGTTTGGTGCTGCTATTCCAGTGTCAATGACTACCATGATGAAGGTCATTGAGGAGCTTCTGCATTTTCTAGCAAAGAGTGTCTGTGCAAAGGAGGGTGAGAGAGTTCCCTCTTGTAAGTCTTTGGTGGCAGTTTCGGTAGCTGAGGACTGGAATTCTGACGAGGTGGGACTGGAGGTGCTGCAAGGCTGTTAGGATTTGGGCTGAGCACGCACCAACGACGCAGTATTCGAGGCGATGGGGTGCCAGGCGGAGTGTTAGGGGAGTTTGGGCATGTGCTAACTTCCCGGAGCCAGTCAGGCTCTCTGTGAAAGTGTCCCACAGGTGGTGGCTGAAGACTGAATGAGCAGTTCACAAAATGCTCTGGAGGGCGAAGGGGTACTGGAGGAGGAGTGTCAGGCAGAGGATCTCTTGGTGGGGGTGGTGGAGGGCTCTGCAGCGGCGGATCAAATGGACCAGTGTAGGCTGGGACTCGTGGCTGTATCTTTGGAGGAGGGGGCTGTCTCGGGGGGACAGCAGGAGGATCATCATCAGATCTGGAACCACCCTGAAACACACATGAGCAGAATCATCCAAACTGTCCCCAATATAAATTACTTTGAGCAAGAACCTCATATATTTCCATCTTCAAATTTCTTTTTTCAGAACACAGCATTCCATACCTTATTTTCAGCATTCCTGAACTTGAATGACAACTCCTCAGACATTAAAACAATTTAACTGAAAGTTAATAGTTTAAAGTTCCACCAAAGTGAATGGGATTCAGCTCTAAAGACATGCATTTTAAAATCCCCAGTTATACCAACAAGCCAAGTTTGAGATGGTTAATGTAGCAGAAATGAGGTTGGCACATGAGCTGATTAGCATGCAAGTGTGCATGTGTGGGTTTGAGAGCATGCACATGCTGATGCACAAACACATAACAAAACAGGTAGTCCTCGACTTATGACCACAATAGGGACTGGAAAATTCGTTAAGTGATGCGGTCGTTAAGTGAGGGATCAAATGACTGAACCCAATTTTACACCATTTTTTGCAGTGGTTGTTAAGCAAATCACCACAGTTGTTAAGTAAATCATACAATCATTAAGTGAATCATGCGGCTCCCCATTGATTTTGCTTGTCAGAAGCTAGCTGGGAAGGTTGCAAATGGTAATCACGTAACCCTGGGATGCTGCAACTGTCGTAAATACGTGCTGGTTGCCAAGTGCCCACATTTTGATCATGTGACTTTGGGGATGCTGCAATGGTCATAAATGTGAGGACCGGTCATAAGTCACTTTTTTCAGCACCATCATAACTTCAAACAGTCACTAAATGAATGGTCATAAGCCAAGGACTACCTGTAAAGCAGAGAGACTGAGCAGTGAGAAATCAAATCACATAGAACTACAAGATCTCTGCTTTGCTCATAGTCTACAAATACACTTAAAGAAGATTCTTTCAAACAGAAGATTACCTTTGAGTTAGAAAAATCTTGATCAAACTTCTTGCGAGGAGGCAGAGGAGGAGGGACCAAGGGTTCTTCACTTAATTTATGTAAACTCCCACATGAACTGAAGAATGATTCTGAAGAATGAAACAGACAGAAATTAATGCGTTTAACTGTTTAATTAGTTAATCTTTTGAAACCTTGTTTCTTAAATATGTAAGTCCTAGCAATTATTTTTGTATTTTCAATATATCCTTGTTTACTTTTTGCTTTTTCTACCCATACATTAATAGCTTCTGTCTTTAGGACAGGATGGGAAAATCTGAGGGCAGCTTTCTACACTGAATGAGGCTAACATTTCTTTTAATATATTTGGAGGTTTAGTGAGATTAAGGGAAGAAGTTGCAAAGGCTTTGGGTACCCAACTGGCTTTTGCCCCAAGCCTGCAAGCCTTTAGAAAATCAGTTAAGAGCTGGCTCTTTTCCCAGGCACCTGGGTCAGGATGAGCAAAGTTCTCATTCGGTAGAATATAACACATTTTAGTTCTGCTAGCCATTTAATTGTTTTATTTTGTTTTAGTGCCATGTGCTGTTTTGTATTTTTATTTAATGGTGGTGATTTTGTACCACCATCTAGAGTCATATTGTTTGAGTTAGGTGGCATTATCATCATCATCATCATCATCTGCCCCCACCACACACACACATCCAGCCATCTATCATGTCAACTCAACATGGTGAACATACCTAATACTCCTGCCTCCTATTTTCCCCACAACAATCCTATGAGGTGGGTTGGGCTGAGAGAGAGTGACTGGCCCAGAGTCACCCAGCTGGCTTTCACCTATTTCACCTTAATCACTATACCAAACTGGCCAAATATAAACGTTATCAATAAATAATTATGAACCTTGAAACCTCAAACAACAGGAAGAAATTGTTCTAATTTTTTGAGGAGGTTTTATCATTTTCTGAAGTCTCCAGAAGTTTTAAGGCACCCATATCTTCCCTCAAAACTGTCCCCAAAGCCCCAACCTCCCCAGAAGAGTCTGAAACTCACCCATTCTGGAAATGTTATGGGATCATTAGTCATGCCCCCTGCCACCTTTAGACAGGGCCAAATAGAGTGCAGCTTTAGGGTTACAGTAACTCTTGATGCTCTTCTGTATACATATGCAAAGAGACAATGGAATTCTGCAGGAGTAACCAGAGTACTTACTTGACTGTGGCAAAAGGACAGGAGCAAATATGCTGTTGTTGCTACCTGTGAAGAGAAGGCAGAAAGGAGATAATTAGGAATGTTTTACATGTCAAAATACCATTTAGAATTGAAAATACAGCTAAGAGAAAAACTGTGTCATTAACTGTAAGTAACACAACTTAGTGTCACCTGAACTTGACAAAGAGCATGACTACTACTCTGGCCTCTTATAACCTTTCCCCATTTGCATCATCAAACATGCCCCAGCAATCTCCACTATGTCCTCATAACATTCCCTTCTTCTGATCCCCAGGCCATACCTGAGGCAGCCTTAAGTTATCCTTAAGTAAAGTAATGTTTTCTTTCTGCTATTGACACAGTCTTTGGCATGTGAACTATCTGGCACACCTGGCCAACTATTTTCTCAGTGGCATAGTCAGATGAGCTCTGTGAGGGGATCTGCCAAGCTCTTATTGGTGCGTGCATGCCTTCTCCCCTCAAGAGAGTCCAGCTCTTTCAAACCAGATTCCTCTCATACCAGCCAGGATGCTAAGCTGATGTTTGACTCAGGCACCAGGGTCTTCAAGAGGGATTTTGAGGCTTGTAGGAAAAGCAGAATGAATTTAGGAAGTCATTAGTGAAATGCTGTGGGGAATAAACTATTTCATTATTAAAAAGCAGGAATAGCTGCCTATAGTCAATTAACCCACAAACATTCTGCTCTGAGCTCTTTGAAGAAGGGATTATAATACAAGGCATTAGGTTGTGGAAAGCATTTCTCTACAGGTAGTCCTTGGTTAACGACCAATCGTTCAGCGATTGTTCAAAGTTACAACGGCACTGAACGAGCGGTACTTAGACCAGCCCTTGAAGTTCCAGTCATCCCAGCACCCCCTCAGTCACGTGATCGCAATCCAGGCGACGGTTGCAGCATTCCGTGGTCACAGGATAGCCACTTGTGACTTTCACTGCTAGCTTCCCACAAGCAAAGTTAATGCAGAAGCCAACAGGGAAAGTCACAAGTTCCCAGAGGCTTTTTCCCCCAAGGAGCCCACCTACGGCACCTGCAGCACCCCCTCACTTGTGGCAGCCACCTGTACACTCTCTCCCACCTGGCAGCAGCCACCCCCAGTCCCACTGTGCTCATGTCTCAACACCCACCTACATACCCTCGTGCACCCTTGCACACCCAGCAGCAGCCACCCCCAGCCCCACCACACTCATGCCTTGATGGCCACCCGCATAGCCAGCAACAGCCACCCCCAGCCTGCCGCACCACACCTCAACAGCCACTCACACACCTGGCAGCAACTCCCACAGCCCCACAGTGCTCGCGCCGTGCCTCAATGGCCACCCACACACCCTCCCCCACCCAGCAGCAGTCACCCTCAGTTCTGCTGCACTCACACTGTGCTGCCCCAGCCACTTGCATGCCCTTGGGCACCCTTGCGCACCCAGCAGCAGCCACCCCTGGCCTTGCTGCTCTCATTCCATACTGCGTCAGCCACTCACACACCCTCCCTCACCCGGCAGAAACCACACCCAGGGTGCTTGCGCCATGTCGGCCATTCGTGCACCCTCTCCCACCTGGCAGCAGCCACTTACCTGCCCACCAGCCTGCTTGGGAGCTGCCTGGGACTTGCAACTTCCTGATGGCTTCCCCATTGATTTTGCTTGTTGGAAGCCAGTAGGAATTTGCAAGGAGATTCTCACTTAACGACCCACGACTGTCGCTTAACAACAGCAATAGGGAGTCCCGGGATTGCCATCACTAAGCAATGCAGTCACCTGACGTTGTGCTTTAAGACCACAATGCTTAGTGGCAGAAATTCTGGTCCCAACTGTCGTCGTAACCCAAGGACTACCTGTACAGTATTTTGCAAGACTCAAGTGGCTATGGCAGAAATGCCTGGGTCTGCATGCTCATGAAGGAAGGGAAGCAGATGGCTCTGCAGGCTCATTTATGACAGCTGGGCATTGCTGAAGCAGCTGTATGAGCTTTGCAAAACATGGACTGGCTTTAATGATCCAGAGATGGCTCTTTGTACAAATGCTTTGCATGGGCCTAATAAAAAATTAAGGAAGAGAAAAGAGATGATGAGCATAAAGATTTGGGAGTTAAAACACAGATGTCTGTTGTGCCATTAACTCTGAGTTCAGTTATAAATGGCATGAAAAGAAATACATCTTGTTCCAGGTCTCAAAAGTTAAAGGACAAAAAAGCTGCATTCAAAATACATTAACTCAGCGACTAGATCTATCAGTATTCCCATCTACCTCTCATCCTCTCACCAAACCTATCATACTATGGTAGAGCAGTAAACCTGCGAATATCAGAAATAATTTGAGTTTCATTTTATTATTGTAGTTTAAGAATGTAAGGTGGCTTGGAATACTTACCGTAGGAGCTGTTGAGATCAATGTCTATGAACACACTGACTTCTGATGATGCAGACACTGGAGGAGTGGATGGTATGTTTGGTGAAGTTGGTGCTGATGCTGCAGACTCCTGTTCAGCTTCAGTAATTCTACTAAAACTAATCTTATAAGGTTCCTTTTCAAGAGGAGTTGGATGGCCTCTCAATGTACCAGATGTGGAGCTGTGTCTGCCGGCATTTGGCCTTATTCCAGGAGATTTTAGAGAGTAGCTTGTTTTTCTAGGCTAAAAGAGAAAAAAAAAATCCCACAATTTTAAACTTTTTTCTCTTTGGGCTAGTTGCTTTATGTTTAGAAATACAAGGAAATAAATCAGTGCAAAAAAGACTAAACTAGGAAAATTGCCTTTTTACTTACTAAGCCATCTTTTGCTTAAGAATGAAATGCTAATTTATACATAAATCAACAGTATCTGCCTTCAAGCTACACTTGATTGCATGCCTTTAATATCTCCTCTGATACTGAAGGAAATAGAATTTGAAACAGAATTCTCCATTATAAAGAAAAACAAAATGTCTTTTGAAGGCTTAGATTAATATAAGTATTAATTATGTAGAATAATTCAGGACCCTCCACATTAAAGTGCCATTTAACACTACAAAGTAATTTTGTGTTGCTATTATTCAGTAATTGAGAATATAATATTTTTCCTAGAGACCCTGCCAGGTTTGACACTATCTCTGCAAAGGGCACACATCTCTCAATACGCACCATTACTTTTTGTACAAATCAGATGCATACACTATCAAATGGAATCATATACAGGTAGTCCTCACTTACCAACCATTTGTTCAGCGACTGTTCAAAGTTACAATGGCGCTGAAAAAGGAGACTTACAACAGGTCCTCAAAGTTCTGGCCATTATAGCACCACCACAGTCACATGATCACAGTGTGGGCGCTTGGCAACTGGGTTGCACTTACAACGGCTGCAGTGTCCCATGGTCACGTGATCACCATTTGCGACCTTTCCTGCTGGCTTCCCACAAGCAAAGTCAATGGGGAAGCGAGCAAAGAAGGTCACAAGTTGTTCTGGTAAGTCGCTCGCACCCTCCCCCGCCAAGCAGTAGCCACCCCGCCCTGCCATGCTCACATTGCGCCTCGTGGCCCACTTGTGAACCCTCCCTCACCCAGTAGCAGCCACCCCTGGTCCTGCCATGCTCACACCACGCCTTACCTGCCTGCCAGCCTCCTTACAAGCCAACTGGGACACAGTTAACGACCCATGATCCTCACTTAATGACAGCAATGGTGTGTTCTGGGATGCAATCATGTGATATCATGCTTTACAACCACATCACTTACTGATGGAAATTCGGGTCCCAACTGCAGTTGTAAACAGAGGACTACCTGTACATTATTTGAAGACTTACATATCTAGAGGGCTGCTTGCAGTTTCGGGGCTCAATCTCCTGAGATTTGTTGAATAAATAGTCAGTGAATTCTTTTTCTGGGGAATTTCCCATGGGGTTCAAATTTTCAAAGAATCTCTGAAAAGGCAAAAAAATAACTTTTCAACTAACTGCATCATAACGAGAAATACAATACCAACATGTGCGAACTCCCCTAAGATTCTAGGAATCCCATGTTTCCAGGCTCTCAGTCAGTTTACGTTGTATCATATTTTTCTTCCTTGGATATTATTAGCAATGTTGGGATTATTTATGGACTGGCACTGTATGCATACATGGTATATGTGAAATGGACAAATGGCTCTACTTCCATACATTTTAAACTGAAAGCAAACATGCTTTCCAGGATATGAATGGCTGCTTCAATTTAATGGTGGCCACAGTGCAATACTCCCATTTAACTTTACAAGTTGATACTTTCTTCAAGGAAATCTAAGAACCTGGACACTGTGAGTGATTTACTGCTAAATCTGATCCTCTCCATCATAGAAAATACTGATATATAATCACATAATTGGAAGGGATCTACTACGATTCTCTGCTTGGACCCTCTGAAAGATTGCTCTTCAGCCTCCATTTGAAGACTTCTAACAAATAGAACCCACACTTTATGTGGCAGCCTATTCCACTGGCTTGTAGTATATACCATCAGGAACATCCTTCTGATGTCTAGCCTGAACCTGCCTCCTCATACTTTTAACCCATTGGTTTTCGTGCTGCCTTTTAGACATTAGAAAATATGTCTACTCTTGCTCCTGTGTGACAACCCTTCAGATATTTTGAAGGGGCTATCATATCTCATAGAATCATAGGGTTGGAAGGGACCTTTGAGGTCTTCTAGTCCTCACAATAGTTACACAATATCATTACACAAATATCTCTACACAATTTATTTTCTGTAGGCTAAACATATCCAGATAATTTAACAGTTTCTCACAAAACCTGGTTTCCAGACCCCTCTGGTAGCCCTCCCCTGGATTTGCTCAGGTTGGTTGCTGTCCTTTATGAGGTGCGGTACTCAGAACTAAAGTGTGACCTGGGCAGAACAGAGTGGAATGATTTCCTGTGATCTGGCCACTGTATCCTCATTAGTGCACCCCAGGATAGCATTTGTCTTTTTTAGCAGCTGCATTACACTGATGGCCTAGTCTCAGCAAAGCACCAAAACACTATTTGTCATCTTATAAAATGCAGAGGGAGCTCTCTCCGCAGTGCTGTCCAATTACCCGAATGTCTGGCTCAACGCGTAAACAGTAAGGCTGGTTCTGATACTGTTGGATTTCTCCTGTGATTTCAGCCACCTTCCTTCTTTTACTGAAGTTGATCAGTCCTTTCCCTTGTCTTTTTAGGAAGTCAGGATTCCCTTCTTCTGTCTTTAGAATATTTGTTAAGTATATTCCTAATTAGAGAGAAAGGGCAAAAGGATTTTAGCTTGTTCACATCCATGACTTTTTTTGTTTATGACCATAACAGAGACCCTCCCTTCAGAAAAATTAGCCTTAGATGGACAACTGTGCATGAAGTATTGCATTACCTTTTTGAGCTTCAGAATGTCTAGGAGACAGGAAGCTGACATTTCAAATTATGAACTCACTAGGAAACTTTAGGGGAGTATTCTTTTTTATTCTCTGCATCCAGGTATTAACTCAAGCCTACTTTGCTGTACTATGTAATAAATTATCAAAACCAATCAATTATAAAGAAGGGGCAAGATTCCTCTTAAGTCACATGCAACCCTTATCAAGTAAGAATATAAAATAATACGTTATGAACACATTTTATAGCGCATTTTACAGTGAGACATAGAGGTTGTACCCATGCACCCTACACACTTCCCTAAAGCCTGAGAGAACTTTTGATGCACATCTGAATAGTGAGGGGGAGGAGAAATAAGTGAAAGTCTTGCTGTCCAACTTTGGGTAACAGCAAATGAAAAAACTACTACCTTCTGTTGGACTTAAGAATGACTCAATTTCCTGAGAAAAGGAACTCAGCAGAACCTGAAAGATGACACATTTCTAAACCATTTTTTGACCAATAAGTGACAAGCTTACCATCTTCTTCCTCTGTCAAATGACAAAGAACAATCAAAGCTTTTGTCTTAACAGTTTCAAGCAAGCAAGCAGGGGCCAAAATCATGAAAAAAAAAATTAAGATGAGATTTAAGAGATTCAAAGTCAGAAGGAAAATTTCTCTTCATGGATGTATCTGTTTCTTTAAAGCCAAATTCCAGTAATACGTTATGTTCTTAGATCCCCCCCCACACACACACACGTGGGCTGAAATATGCAAGAAATAGGAAGCATTTGACGGTATTCTAAATAAATTTAGATAACACAGTGCTTATTTGGAGCCATATTCTGAGAGCATTTTAGCAATCATCTCAAATACACTTTATTTTTCATACTAAAATTAATAAGAGAAAGAAAAATATTCAGCAGAAAAGCACTCTCTCAAAAGATACTGCAAAACACCCTAGAAAGAATGTCACAATTTCATTAACCGTTTATAGATTAATAGGAATATAAGAAACAGCCACCGTTTCTGTCTCTGTGGTGTAACTTACCAAAGAAAGGCACACATGGTGGATTGATTGATTTGAGTTTAGCAAGGTATTTTTTAAAGTGATCTTGACTTAATTCTACTGCTTCATCTAAAATTTTCTTTTTTCTTTCTTGCAGTGCCTGATATCAGATAGAAAAAAAAAATCCACATTTTGATATTGCAGGATATGTCTGTGTAATATTCAGTGTTGGCAGAGATTGTGAAATCTTCACAACATCTTTTTGTTCTATATCATTCTTTGATCCCTATTTCTCAGATATTACTGGTCTTTGTTGTCAAAATGCCTTACACAGAATCATCTTGCTGCTATATACTCTTTTTTTTGTTATTAAATATACTTGGTTCTAAAACTAGTTCTAAGGTTGTCGATAAATGGCAATAGTAAAATGTACATAAACAAGTCCATAATATAAAAATAATTCAGTTTGGCAAAAAACAAAGTAAAATGGAACTATGAATTTTGAGCTACAGACTTACTTTATGCTACCACAGATCAGAAACCTTATTTAACCAAAGAAACTCATGATGTTTTATTATATTATATTTTGATGTGATATGATATATGCCTTGCGCTCCTGTACAAAAGGCAGGATACAAATTTAACAAACAAAGTATTATTTTACTTAGTTTTGGAAATAATTCCTACCATGCTATTCACATTTGTACTGAATTGCAGCTGCCATTAATATAAAACAACTGTATTTTAAAATCATTGGTTACACTTTGATTACTGGCCAGCCACCAAGACTTACTTCAAATGTGTGGTCTAGTCTGTACACGGAGACAGAATTCATTGCGCTGACTATCTCAAGAACTCCATTAAAATTATTTAAGTCCTGAAAAACCTGCAAAATTTCTATAATCCTGCTTAACACAGCCACTCGCTCTTCGAAGTTTTCCATTTCTACTATACACCTAATTTAGAAAAAGGAGAAAAAACAGCAGAGAGGTTTGTTGGATGGTATTTTAAAACGATTGTCATATTCTTATTTTGTTACACCCTCAAGTAAAATAAAATGGTACTTTTTAAACCTTTTGTAATGCTCACAATGAAGTGACCAATACTGAGCAAGGAACTTGCTCAAGGCCATCCAGTTTTTCAAGGATGAGCAGAACTCAAGCCCCTAAAAAACCCATGTAATGTTTTAAACATTATATTACTCTGACATAGCATGGTGATGTAAGCCCACTTGTCTTCAGTGTGGTGGACTACAGGTAGTCCTTGACTTACAACCACAATTGGGACTGGAACTTTTGTCGCTAAGTGATGCAGTCATAAAGCAAAATATCAAATGACCAAAATGGCATATTCTTGATATAAGTGAATTTACTCACTTTTCAAACCAAAGTGTAAGATTTGTTGTATGCCGAATCATTTTCAGTAGATTTGGGGAATTAATTTCTTTATCTTCTTTTGTCCACACACTCCCAACAAGTTCTGAAGGCTGGACTGCCCTGATACAGAAAAAACAAGATGATTTTGTGTGTATGTGTATGCGTGTGTGCATGCGTGTGCATGTCTGTGTGCATGCGTGTGCATGTGTGTGTGCATGTCAACACAGTGGGAAGAATATGATATGCAGAAAATTCAGAAGAGTCTCCAGGCATTTGAACTGAGGGAAATTACAATGTAATAATCTGTGTAGCTACTATGGGCTCTTCCCTTTTAACTTGCTAAGCAATTCTCCCCAAAAAGGGAAGTCCAACTAGAAGATCAATCATATAAGATGGGATACAACCATCATTCCAAGTAGCCATCTTTTTTTTTTAAAGACAGTAAAAGTAGCTACCTCATCTATTTGTTTGGTCTTATATCACTTAAAGAAGAAAATAATAAACATGAGTTGGATCCACAGCTTGAACATAAATTACTTTTTACTTTTCTTCTAGAAGTAATAACTTCAAGTGAACAACTTCAATTGTTAAGTGCTCAGTTATAATTATATTTAGTACTGTATTGTACTTTAGGTGAATAAAGCATGTTAAGTACATTGTCTCAGTACTCAGTACCTTTCTTCACATTACTTTGAAGGGAATGGAAAGCAGATACAACTTCTGAAGTACTGGCCTACTGAATCAGTTTTGCATATAAAACTGCCTTAAAATGAATCATATCACTGTTCCATTTAGTCCAGGATTATCTAGCTTAGTCTTCCCCAACCTTGTCATCCAGATGTGATGAACTGAAACTCCCATCAGCCTAATCACACTGGCCAATAAAAGGGATAATGGGAGCTGTAGACAGGACACCTTTTATAAGGTGCTCCAACTGATAGAACTAAGATTTCAGGCAGAGTTTTTTTTCAAAGCTCCTATCTGAAATCCCTTTAACAGAAATTATCAGTGTTTAAACTTGCACACACAAAATTTGTGCTCTACCACCAAAAACTCTACATTATCTAGTTTACTTCAGGACTTACTGCTCATCTCTCAACCAGTATGTTACCTTATCTTATTACTGAAGGAGTACATACTGTAAATATCAAACCAGTCAGCATCGGTATTGCAATCATTATATTGCTCTATACTATACTACAGTCTACTATACTATTCAAATTGAGTTTGTACAATGAATTTGATTAAGAAAGGAGCATTTTGCCATTTGAATTATGTGATGGAAGGAATTGTCAGCCCCACAAAACAGCGGTCTACCTGTAGAGATCAGATTCCAGCAGGGTTAGCTGTCGAGCAATCTCTATGGGATGCAATGTCATGAGGTCAAATGTCTCAAACTGACGGCTGATGTGCCACTCAATTGGAGGTGGTGGGCTCTCAAATGTTATATTATGGCTAATGCCATTTGCATGAGCTTGTTTTTTCCTCCTGATAATTTTTGCAATGGATTCCACCCACTTCTTCATGGATTTGCCTGGAAGACACATCAGACATTGGTACTTCATATAGCAAGTATGAAATAGAACAAACTTCCCTTATTAACAATTAACATAAACTCTGGGAAAACGTTTTACAAGACAAATCTGAGATAGCAAACTGTTTAGCAAATACATTTGTATGCATTTACTAAAATGTAATCTGTGCACTGAAAAATGCAATGTAGAAGGATACATTTGAGGTAAATTACTTGGTTCTTCGCATTTTAAAGTAATGATCATCTGTTTTAATGTGCTGTAGCAGAATATACATGATGTTTTACACCCAGGCCAATAGCATTTAAATTGGGAAAGTAAGGAAGACCTTCAGGGCTAGACTTATAATTTTGCATTGTAGTGGGCAATGAGATATCTAGGGTAATATCCAAACAGAGCAGAAGAAATCAAAACCACTACCACTGAACTTAAATTGTGCACTAAGAAAAAACAGCATTCTGCCAGATGTAGGCTATTAAGAAAGAAATCCCCATGTCTTATTTTGGATAACTAATTCTACATTTTGCACATTTCATTCTGCTTTTTGTCTGTCTTCTCCATCATCAACTGTTGGTTTACTTAACAAAGGACTATAATTTGAAACAGCAAGCAATTAATCTCCCAGCTCTTAAGCAGATGAATTTCTGAGCTAAGTAAAGATGCCAGGGACTTTCTAGACTCAAAGTACATAATTTCTTATTTTATAAAACATTCTCCTCCCCCCATGGAAATCTTGTTCAGCAATACTATTGGCTTTTTTTCCCAGGAAAATTATGACAGAAAATTAAAGAAAAGAGGAATTCTATATCCCAAACTGCATCCAATGGCCCTGGACATGCTAGAAATAATAGTGAATACTGGAACTGGAGGTACTGCATGACTGCAGTTGTTCTCTGAACTAAACATGCCAATGCCTTTTTGATTATGCTGATGGAAACAACTTTAAATATAGACTATAAGCAAAACTCATTCAAACAGCTAAATCTTTAGGCAGACATTCACCTGTTAGAGCTGCTCTACTACAAGATTAGATCTTCCACATAAAAAATGGCATGTGTGATTTTACATTTATCTGTCTAAATGGAAACATGAATGACAGGCATGGTTCTTCTCATTTCATGTGATAATGGACACAGGTTTCCTAGAAAAGCATGAAACTAGGATAAGAAGCGTTATCTGTACTCTAATTTTATATGGAAGAAGCAAGGCACAAATGCAGAAGCATTCAGGACACAGTTACGTAATGTAATGCTTTTTTCTTTTGTAAACAGAAACGGATTAGAAAGGAAACTGATATAATAAAATTGTCTCATAATAACCAGAAATACCATTGTCTTCCATGAATAAGTGCAGACCAAAGGAACACTTGGGATTTGTAAAAAGCTAAAGATGAGAATTTAGGAAGTAACCTAGAAATAAGGCTGATGTTCACATTTAAAGAAAATTACCAACTAAAATTATATACCTCTTACAGTGGAAATAAATGTCTCCAGTCTATCGAGTAACTCCTGATCTCTTTCAAAGTCATAAAAATGATGTTCCACCCAGTGTCGAAACACATTCAGTACCCTTAAGGGAAAAAAGAGAGAGAAGAGAAAAAATGCCACTATTTTTAATTTTCCCCAACCGAGGCTGAGGTAGATTGATTCACCAACTGATGATAAAACAGCTATACTGGAGCGAGATGGCATCTGAAATGAACTTGTGAATGAAAAAAAAAAGTTTCTTCAGTTGAAAAAAAAGGACTGTGCTTACTATGACTAACAAATCATAAATTCAGTTGGAACTATAAAGATACAACATCTGCAAATTTCCCAGAATAAATCCTTTCCGAGACACATTTAAGCATAGGCATAACTTAAGGCCGCCACCAGATCTTTCACAAAATAAATGAAAATAATACCATTGTGGGGTATACTATTTGTGGTAAAGTTCTTTTCTCCCCTACTATGTCTTCATGAATGTTCTAGTATCATGAGATGACAGATACTTTCTAGATAATTTAACCTTAGAGATTTTACAGCTTCCTTCAAAGCTGCGCTCCTGATATACAAATAATATATATTTTCAACTTGGATGATTTATATTTTATCACTGGAAATAATGCTTTCCTTGGGGTATCCTGTTGTTGCGACAGTCATTTATAATGTCAATCTACTGAATGCAGGATAACATGGCTTGCATTTTTACCTGCAAAAAAATGTAACTACTATTCTTGTATTTCAGAAGAATAGACTAATATCATTTAATTTCATTTTCTTTTTTTCACATTTATGTTATTTTTTATTATTTAATATGTGTATATCTGGTGCAAATATATACATATAAGATAGACATATGCATATATTTTGTGCCTTCAAGTCAGTCTTGACTCCTGGTGACTGCCTGGACAAGTTCCTGCAATTTTCAGAGGAACGTATTTGGAAGTGGTTTACAACTGCCTCCTTCCTAGGGCTGAGAGAAAGTGACTGGCCCAAAGCCATCCAATTGGCTTTGTGCCTAAGGCAGGACTAGAATTCACAGACTCACCATTTCTAGCCTGGTTTCTTAACCACTACACCAAATTGGCTTTCATATATAATCTGAATTCTTTAAATTGTATTCACAAGTTTTATATTTTAATTTGAAGGTTACCAATAAAAATTATGTTTAAAAAAAGCCAGAATACACACTCCGACTGATCTTCTAGATTAGCTTTCAGGGCCTCTCATTCTCATATAAAGTAAGAACTTCTCAAGCAAAGTGATCACCTCAGTGTCCTCCCACCTGATAATACAGTTGGAAACATGAAAGAGATAAAAGTTCAAACCTGAGTTGTACTGGTTGGACATATTCCTTGCGAAACCTTTTAAGATCTGCACTGATTGGCTGTTCTCCTTTCTCTATTGCCAGCCTATCAGCTTCGGTTGGTTCCGGTTCAGGGATTTCAAATCTAATAAATACAAGGAAGTTGGAACATGAATTACAGCAGATGCAGAATACAAAGAAAGGAGAAAGACCTGGAAACACATTCTTGTTCATAATTGGAACAACGGATAAGATTTATCCATTTATTTTTGTTGTATTTATTGAATAAGATTCCCAGTGGTTTATAGTGTTGTAATCAATATAACAAAACAGATATATAAAATACAACTGGTAGAACTATAACTCCCTGGAATCCATCATCTGACATCAAAATCTTAGTCATCAACATCAAAAATTAAGAACTCTAAGAAAAGCTTGGTCTTAACTACCTTTCTGAATATGAAATAACATTCAGGGGATTTAAACCACTGCTATTACTCCACTAAATTCTTTAAACTACTAGAAGATATTGGTATTTATTAATCCAATTCATTTTAATATTTCTATGTTAGCAGCAAGTATAAAATAAGGTATTTGCATCCCTTTTCAAAGAGCTATAGAATTGTCTTCAACAATTATTTTTTCTTGGCTTCCACTTTGTACACCAGCAGCAGGATCATTATTCAGCTGGAATATTCAGCTATTCATACTGGACATGCCACCCTAGGCCACCACTGATTTATATATTTTAACATAGGCATAATCAGCAGTGTAATGTACAAATGGAATGCAGCTGCCAATTACAGAAAATTAATATCTTTGTCACTGGATTGAGCTTGAACATTGGCAATTCAGTCATCTCTCTCACAAAACAGTTTTGTCATAAAACATAACATTACTAGCTTAGATTGTTCCAGTTTCTCTTGACTGATTTTCTAGTCTTTTCTTCATAGTCAGGAAGTTCACAAACCAAACAAATAATCTGAAGGATTCTGAGAAAGCCAAAATTTAGATCACAGGGCAACATTTGTACCTCCTTTTTTCCAATGGATTGTATGCAATGGTCTAATTCTGAATTTTAACTGTCTTTGGAAGCCCATTTTCATTCTTGCACTAATATCAAATTCCAAACTTGTATTCTGCTTCGGCAAGCCACTATGCAAACTGTTGTTCACATTTTTACAACTTATGCTATGTGCTGCTTGTAATATTTGTGCCAGCTGTTCCATCTGGACTTAAATAACTTCTAGTAGTATACCACGAACTACCCAGACATTGGATGCAATACTTTAATTATTTTTTTATAAGAGAAAAAATCTCTCTCCAGTGGTGGTTCTTCATGATGTATTCTATTTTTAACTGAGCCCAAATTGTTTCAGCTTTATATTGCCAAACCACATAAACCTTTCTAAAAGCTTTATATAATTAAGTATGTAATGGACTCTGGAAAACAAGAGGTAGGCAATGCTATTAAAATAGATTGCTTAGAAATGAATGTGTCATCATTTAAATTATCACAATATCTCACCACTATGGCAATTTTATTATTGCTAATATGAGAGCAAAATTCATGACAAAGGGATTGGATAAATTTTTTATTTACCTTTCTGTCAACAAACCCAGGAGTTCTTGCGGCTTACAAAAGGACCGGTATGTGGTAAGGAAAGTACGTACAAAATTAGGATCTAGAAAGGCAAGCACAATCCCAAATTAAGCATTTCATTTCAGGTAATAATGATCCCCTTCCCATAAGTCAATAATACATTATATTACAATATAATGCAATAAGCATTATATTGGAATCCAGATACCTGCATACATGTGATAAGTTAGCCTTTCAATGAGCTTCACCACAGTTCCACCTTTGATGATTGGAATTCCATTCCTGCTCTGAAGACTGTCCTCAAAAACCATGTTCTCCTCAGAGTCTTCCACTGCAAAACGATAGATGCTTGGACTGGGGAGTCGCAGGGGCTGCTCGTTCTCTTCTTGCAACAGTACTGCATCCAACATTCGGTCCAGGGTGCTGCGATACTGGAGGGAAATTAGTGCTGCCATCCAGTTGTTCTTCTCTTCAGCAGACTTGGCAGCAAAGATTAAGCTGTTCTCATCCTTAGGGACCAGCTCAAAAGCATTTTTGTATTCACACGTGTCATCTTTATCAACTATATGGACTTTCCTCATAATGATTTTTTCTTTGAGCCGGTACTCTGCGTTGCTATAGCCTGGAAGTCGTGACTGCCCATGGTTGGCTTTGCAGCCAATCATTAAACCATCAAAGAGAAATACATGACGTTCATGCTTGGCTCCTACTCTTGCCAGTGTGCCTTCCATTATAAATTCATTACAGCACTGACCAATATCTTTGCCTTCCCAACCATCAATGTTTTTCTGGATCTCATTCATTTTTTTTATGGCCAGATGCTTGCTTCTTACTTGGCGGTTGTAGAACCAAGACACCGGCTCCCTAAAAGCATATTTTATCAGATTAAACTTGGCAATTATCAGCTGAAGTCTGTGTAAAAGCAGGTTTGCTTACTTTTTAAAACAAAATGTGTAAAAAGGCCTTAACAGAAGGAAAAGAAAGTGTTAGGGTGCTGACTCACAGCCATAATTCCTTTACCGTAATCTGCCTTTCTCTTCAAATGTCAACATATTTGCTAATGTTCCCAAAGAACTCAACTGCAGCTAGAACAATGCTATGACTAATTTTCTTACCCAGGCCGACGTCTAGGTGAATGTTTATTATAAATACGTTCCATGCTACATTGGAGATTCAGGAGAGCTGTGATGGCTTGTTTTAAACATTCACAGTCTTCTTCATCTTCACTACATTCTTGAAGTTGCTGAAAAGAACAAATGCTTCAATTTTATGGGGAGTTCATTTAGGAGAGAAGAATTTATAGAAATATCTGGACAACAAAAATCCAAATTGTACACAATCTAAGAAAACTTCATGAATAAAACAAGCATTTTTACCAATCCAAGTGAACAAAAATGCAAGTCAAGATGCAAGTCAAGACTGTGTTTATTCCAGGCAAATGCACACACAAATAATTCATCCTGTTGATACTTACAACTTTTAAAAGTTTTTTAAAAGCATTTTTTTAAAAAAAACTAAATGTAATTGAAAAACCAGTCGGAATAAACTACCAGACAGGGTTCAAGTCACTTCTTGCTGAGTTTTCAAGGATGAGCATAAATCAAGAAGCACTATGATGGATATTACAGCAGGACATCTGACAAAAGTCATACAATGACCCTTTCCAATTCTATATTTAAATTTTGAGCAGCAATGATAAAGAGCATTCTTTGAAGTTAAATCATCAAATGTTGGACAGTTCCTCTTGCACACATTACAAGTTCATTTTCAATTACAATACAGAAAGGGAAACAAGCTTTTAAGGTAGTTATAGCAGTGAAAAGTAAGGATGTACAAAATGTTTCACTTCAAAATGTTTTGAGCACAAGAGAAGCTAGTAGGAACATTTTGGGAACATTTCAACCTTGAAAACATTCCAAAATCTTGAAACATGGAAATTTCATGGTCCAAACATTTCAGAACAAAACACTTTGAACACTTTAGCAAAAACAAAAGCTTCTGAGAAATGCTAGATTAAAATTGTAATTATTAAGACCTTGTACATATTTCTCTTATACCTGACTTTAATTCTTTTTATGCACTTTAATAATTTATTCTTATTATATATCAGTATATATCTATTCTATACTGGTTTACTTCTTTCAAACCAGAAAGCAAAAAGTATACGAATTACATGGTAGTAATCCTTCACTCCATCCTGGGGTTTTAAAATTCAATCTCATTGGTGGATTGATACATTCTGAAACAGGAAGAGCAAGATCTCTTATAGTTGTCATAAATATTTTGCATTTAGCATGTTTATGAATCGCCATCTTGCATAATGTATGAAACATCATGTTGGATCACTCAGACAACACCCTCTGCAAAAATTCAAGCAACTAGGAAGCACTAGGTGATTCCTTCAATATTGTCAAGTGGACCATTGTCAAGTGGACCATTGTCAAGTGGACCAATATTGTCAATGGACCATCAGCTGCTTACCCACCCATGGCTGACTGTATCACATGTATTTATACGTAACAATATGCAAGTTGTGAATATGTATATTCTGATTTATGGAAGAATATCTCTTAGCTGTTATATAAAATGGATAATTATTCAGTCTTTGAAGTCTGCACCTGAGTATTAAACCTCTGATTTTTGTGCAAGTTGTATTTTTTTTCCAATGGGGCCTGTGCACAGGACTGTCTAATGTGCTTTCAACACATCTGAATCTGGTGCTTCCCAGATGTGTCAGTCTTTAACTGATTTGGACAATAGATTTGGAAGGCACTAGGTTGGGGAAAGCTCATCTACCAGCTGTGAATAATAACTAATAATGATAACTGGCTAATAAAACATAATTGTCTTTTGAAGTATCTATAACTTGTTCTCAGATATAGTAGATCCACACTTTCTTTTTTAAACCCCAGTATAAGCAGTAGTCAAGGTGGAAAATTATACAAGGCAACAATAATAGTAAATAGTTTACATGTTTAAGTGGCCAAATTTGGTGTATGAAACAGTTGCAACCTTTTTATTTCACCCATAGATTTATTACATTTACATATTCAACTTATATATGGAATTTACTTGAAATTTATTTTAAAGAGCATATCTCACCTGTAGTAATTCAAAATAGTGCAGACAGTGATAGACAGGAACTAACATGAGACGTGGTAGGACATACCGTACTGCTTCTTTAAAGCCATCAGCAATTGACTGAAGGAAAAAAAAGCAAGTCTTGTTTCAATGGTTGTCTTATGAAGAACAGAAGATGAAAGAGACAGAAGACATTCAAAGTTGTACTGTAAGCTGCCCAGAGACTGAGAGAGGATGACATACAAGTTTTGTGAAAAATAAATCTAGAGAGAGACAGACAGATAAATAAATAACATCCTCCCTATAGGCCAGCCTAACAATAGGAACCTTTAGGAAAATTTTATTGCATCTAGTAAGTTGGGAAAGCAAGGCAGGAGGGTTTTACGAACATTTACACAAAGTAATCTTTTCAAACCACAGATTACCCCCCATTTTATTACATCATCAAGTCCCTCCAGAGAGTTTAAGAAATTTTGTATATGATATCATACAAGATTACCAGATTGCCAACCTAATCTGCTAGAAAGCACTACTCATTGTCTGAGGAAAGAACTTAATTTAGTGGCAAATATATACTTTAACTGCAGAAGACTTCAATTCAATCACCATGATCTTAATTAAAGAATCAGGAGGTAGGTGATGGGCAGCAAATTTTTGCCTGTCAGACAATACCACGTTTGATAGAACAAAACAGCCCATTCAAGACCATGATTATTTATTATTTGGCTTTATAAATCATAGGTATTATCTATACCCACAGCCAAAACAGTTAAATGGCAATGTAGGCAAACCTCAACGGAAGGAAGGAAAAAACAGGTTTAGTGTCTTTATTAGGCCAATGAAAGTTAATAATTGCAAGCTTTCAAAATTTCTTAGAACTCTTCATCAGACACAAGAGTTGAAAGCCAGAAAATAAAAGAGTTGGAAAGCTGTATGGCAGACCTTTTGTATCAGGTCTATGCAAATTACAGCAGTGCTTAAAGGTTTGTGAACCCTTTTGCAATATTTCTGCATAAATATGACCTAAAACATGGTATGTTCTCCCCACAAGTCCTAAAATTAGATAAAGAAAACCCAATTAAAAAAATGAGTCAAAAACATCACACTTGTTCATTTATTGAGGAAAATGATCCAAAGCTACATATTTATGTGTGGCAAAAGTA